TATCTGAGCAATGTGAAATACATTTTATTATATGTTAATAATGTCTTTCCAAAAATGCATTAACTTTTCTTATAAATTTTGATGTCACGGGTACTTTAATGTTTCACCTGCAGCAAATTGGGGTAAAGGCCCCACTGTGGGTCCTAAAACTTCAAATTTTGGGTCGTTAAACTGACTGCTAAGAAAGTTTTTGTTATATTTGACGAAAAATCAGTTAGACGTGAATAAAAACAATTTGTCTCTTAGCAATATTTGAATACTTCAACTAAAAATACTTTCATTTATTTTTTTGTCATTTGTGTTTATTATGAAATTGGTCTTAAATTTAATTTCACTTGGCATTAAAAAGTCTTAAATTTAACTTGCTTTAAACTGTAGGAACCATGGAAATAAAAGTAACTTTCTTTTTCTTGCCTTTTTTTCAATGTAAGTAAAAAGTACAGATAATTGTGTTAAAACATAAGAAGTAAAACGTATGTTGAAAAATAAATCAAGTAAAGTACAGATACCCAAATATTATAGATACAGACCAGATTGGCAGGTGCACAGGTGCTCACACTGAACGGTGATGTGCAGGTGGTGCTCCGTCGACAGCAAAAGCAGGATAAAAACAATGGAAAGACAGGCTACACACCAAGATTTAAGGTAAAAAGTAAAAGGTCCTTTAATAAAAGAATGGACCTTTTACGGCAACTCATTTAATGGCTGGTCCATTCTTTTATTAAAGGACCTTTTACTTTTTACCTTAAATCTAGGTGTGTAGCCTGTCTTTCCATTGTTTTTACCCAAATATTATACTTAAGTACAGTAACAAAGTATTTGTACTTACTTTACAATGCTGATTTTACCCAGCATGACATTTGTCATAAAGACAACTTTTTCAAGAATTAAAGTTTATTAAAACTGAAAATATAAATACATGTACAAAAGTGAAGGTTTTCAGTTGAAATAAGATTCTTGCATAAATTGACATTCATCACACATAAGGAATATTAATACTACACTAAATATCTGGACGTGTTTAGTAACAACGGACATCTGAGGCTCATCAGCTGCATCAGTGGATAAAAATMATTCATAAGACAATTAAGATGAATTAAGCAAGGACACTTGAAGGATGTGCAGTCTGTGGGCATCTTTTTGAAACCAATAAAATCTATTCTTAAGAAGAAGCACAAGATAYTTTTATACATTTCCCTTTTTTAAAGTCCAACTCCAAATCTCAGACACATCTGACTAAAAACAGTTTGAGGACTTTAAAACCTGAAGACAGTAACCACACTTCATATTTAAAAGAACTGGGATGCTGTGGCTAAAAACTGCCACTACAAAACCAGGTATCAATAATTTATATCTAAGTCACCTTTATTTATAATAATATTACAGAATTAAGCTTCTAAACAAGTCAGCCCTTGGTTTCATTTAAAGAATTTTACATTTATGAGACCATTTGTTCACAGTTAATGAGAATATATTTTTTATTTTCCAGCTGTTTGCTTCGACGTCTCACTGAAATCATAAATAAATCAAAAAATCTCAAACTGGATGTTTTTACTGTTCCTATTTTAAAATGCTACATTTATTTTCTGCTGTACATTTTATACAGATTTATCAGAGTAAAAGTCATTTCAGGTCCATCGTTCAACAATGTCTTTAGGGCTTCATATGCCCGTCTTTCAGAGAAAAGAGCAGAAATGCTGATAGTGTGAATGACTGAGCATCATCTTCAATGTCATTTTGCATATCAGTACCTAAATATATCTTTCAGTAACAATCATACATTTCTCTGGATCCTTTGGTACAAATGCCTCAACACTGATGCAGATTAAGGTCTCCCCAAAACCTACAAACCCAAAGATCTTAATGACAGAAAACTCAAACCCGTTAAAGCTGCTCAATAATGATCAGTTTGTCAAAGATCAAACCACCTCACCACTTTAAGCTTATTCTTCATAGAATAAAATAAAATAAAGCATTATAATAATTTCAAMCCACGCTAATTTGAAGTGAAATAAGTTTGCTCTCCTCTCAAAGTTTTACATCGATGACTTAAAAATAAATCTTCATCCACATGTAAGGCTTGTTCAAACACATTCTTTGTCTTTTTTTCCCCCTTCTTAGTGTTTTAATTAAATTATTTTACCAACATAAACAACTGTAGAAAAATAATATTAGTTTGTGTAGCTGAGTAAGGTAAGGTTTGATGTGARTGTTTGAGGTTTGTGAGGGGTCGGGTTTCAGGAGGGGAGAGGAGACGGGACTCTGTTGGGGTCCAGATGACTGAGAGAGGGTTCGTGTTCGACCTCGAAGCTGACGTTTACGTAGGAGGCTCTGGACGCCTCGGGTTGATCCTTCACCGTAGCTGCAGAATCTTCCTGCTCRCCTCTCCGCTGCGATGCGAAGTTACTCTCTGCTTCCTTGGCGAGACGGTCCTCCTCTTCTTCCTCTTCCTCCTGCGGTAAGACRCTGCGTTTAGCATTTGTTGCTCTATACATGAGGGTTTGGGGCAAAGAGTATAAAATCTGAGGCCATACCTCCTTCTTTATGCGGTAGTACTCATCAATGGCATACTGATACTTAGGACTGGTGATGCCAAACAGAGAGGCCAGCTTCTCTCCCATGTAGTCACACACTGCGGGAAACATGAAATAACAGAAAGTGAGATATAATCTTACATGTTTTAATAGAGAAAATCCACCAAACACAAACGTTTGAAGAGTTGTAACCAATCTGACATCTACCTGAGATGGTGGAGGTGCCCATTCTCCACATTTGGAACCAGAAGTAAGGACCCCAGGTCAGTTTGGACTAAAAACAAAACAACAAAATTTGTTTTACAACAAATCTAAAAAAAAAAAAAAAAACTCAGAAAATCTAAGGACCAGTTACTAATGAGACCAATGGAAAAAAGTCCAAATGTGACCTCTAAGTCCAACACACCGTATCCACTGTAATGACTTCTTTTTTCACTTGTTCTTCCTCTTCCTCCTCCTCATCAGTGCTGTACTCCTCCATGGTATCTCCGTTGGCAAAGTGGATGGTCCTGCGGGGAATCTTCACCTTTTTTCGGTCGACATTCACAATCTCCACGGTCTCAAAGTGGGTCGGCTCTCCTGTACTCTAAAAAAAAACAAACACAAACTGGTGTCTTTCAAGACCGTCACTGACAATACGTAATATTGTGTTGTCTACTATGTCAGAAACAGTTTTGAATGAAATAAAACTTATGACAAACAGAACTCCCTCATTTGTTAACTTTTAGCTAACCATTAGCTCCGCAGCTACGGAAGTAATGACAAACGGAGCTACAAAAGTTTTTATTTCACGGTTAGCACGAGGTGGAACAGAAAACTTTGTATTAATTTATACTAACGTTTTCAGTTTCCATCATTTGTCCTAAAGAAACGCTGGCATTAGACAAAAATAACTGTAAAGTCGCAATATTTAGTTTAGTTTTTCACTTGCTCTGACGTACGCCCACTCAGAGCAACAGCAGTATTGTTTCCGGTTTGTAATTTTCAAAATAAAGCTTTCTTCTGACGATTCAGAGAAGACAAGCATAAAACGAATCAAACTGTAGACAAAAAATAACACTGAAAGCATAAAAATGTATTTACATATGATATTAAAAATATTGGGAAAATTTAAGAAAGTAACAGTGGTGAAACAACGCAAAAATAATGTTTGTTTGGCACACATCCATGCCGCTAGATGTCGCTGCTTAATAAAGATAAGACCTGTTCTCTTTTTTTAATTTAATTTGATTAATAATTTATCTGTAGTAGAACGCAATGGTAAGTCAACTTATACGGCGAGTGACTCCAAATTAACTCACTCGTGACCCTCTGGCTAATTTTTAAAGTAGCCACCGGAAATCGCTTGTCGTGCGCGTGAACTTGACGATTGTTCTGAAGGTAGTAGCCTCTCGAGGTGTTTTGGTCCGGTCCAGTCCAGCCCAGCCGACCTCAGTCACCAAAAAATGACAGCGAGGAAGTCTGGATCACGACTGGAGACCGAGATCGAGCGGTGCCGCTCAGAGAGTCAGTGGGACAAGATACCAGAGCTGGTTCGGCAGCTGTCGGCGAAGCTAATATCAAACGGTAGGAAGCTGTTCGTGTTTTGGGTTTTGGAGGCCTTTCCTCTGGCCTGGGTCTTCCGGACTTCCTGACAGATGCATCTTATGATGAGCTTTTAAACACTGTGATCTGCTTCATAGTCAGTTAATTGGCAAAAGTTAGCAAGAAATTTGTTTCATTAATAATTGTCGTACATTTTAGGGAGTGCACCCTGTCACTTCATGCATTTCAGGATGTGACCCCTTTCATTTATGTGTAACAAGCAAGTTAATATGTATTATTGTTATGTAGTAGGAGATATGCACCAGCAAATATAGTTACAGTGAAACAGACCAAATTATTAGCTTCGTCCTACAGTTTTTATCATTCATTTATTTTATTCATTCAGTTATCATTCAGGACTGATTTTGAGTGTTAGCAAATGAACTACAGTCATTATTTCTCTAAATAAATAAACAACTATTGATTTTTAATCATTGCCGATTTTTCCACAAAAATAGGAACTTTACTTGCATATCTTAAAAATTTCCTCAAGAGTCAAATTCTTTTGCCGAAACCAAAAAGTTCTGTTTTTGTACTGAGTGCTACATGCTAACTTTGAACTAGGGTTGAACTGTCAGTATCGTGTCACGTGATTCATTGTGTTTTTGTTAAGTTTGTTTACGAAAAGTTAAAAAAAACTATGTATGTAATCTAATTATGAATTAAAAACCTTAAAACAGTTAGTCTGACATATTAATAAAAAGTAAACAAACTGTGTAAACAAACAGCAAGTGGATTAAATAACTTTATTTTCTCGCTTTTTATTTTTAAAACATTTAGAGACTGCTTCAATTTAGTTCTGACAACGTTTTTAGCATATTTTGCACTTTACCTTTAACAAAAGTTTGTTTTATTATGTTTATTTGTTAACTGTTTGAGTAACGCTTCTGTTACAGAAAGAAATTTGACCCTCAGAAGCTTTGTGCAATAACTGGATTATTGGTCACTTCAATCTTTTTTTTTAAATCAGAGCACACATTTACTGTACACATGCACAGTTATGTAATTTGTACACAGTTCTTGTTCGTTTGTTTGCAAGAAAAGCTGTTTCTCTGTTTGTAGACTAACTTGTTCAAATTCAGATATATTATAAATGGTTCTGGTGGAAAATCTTAGCTGGCTGACTCATGAAGAGACTTGTTTTCACTTAAAACACACTAATGTTGGATTTTTCTTGATTTGAAGTTTTCTGTTCATTTGTTAAATGAATCTCAGGCTGATCCTAGAACCCTGTTTAGTAACTATGAACTATTTTTATTTTTTATTTATTTTTTTGGCCTTGTTTGTAGATTCAAGTAGGTCACATAGACACTATACTCCAAATGTTCTTAATTTGTGTGCATGTAGATGACTTGGGCGAGCTGCTGTTGGGAGAATGCAAACTCCAGATGTACTTGAAGGAGAATCCCATCAAACCGGGTTCGAGTCCCAGAGGTCCTCGTCCCAAACTGGTGGAGGTCAGGAAACATCTCACTGCTGCTCTGGACAGAGGAAACCTCAAGGTAACCCTGACACCAGGAAAAAAAAAAAAAAACAACTCACTGACTTGATGATTTTGTACTTCTTATTCAAGTCTAAAGCTTGAAAATGAACTTTCTTTCAGGCTGAATACCTACAGGAGGCCAGTTTGTTGATGGCCAAACTTTGTTACGTGGAAGGAGAATACAAAGAAGCTTTAGGTAATCTTAACCCACTTTGTTTTCACTTTCTGATTTTGTCTTTAAAAACAGAAATGAGTAAATCCCTTTATTTAAACAGACATAATCACTCATTTTCAGTCCAGTGCTTGTAGTTTCGAAGTTTGGAGAAATTTTGATCAAGGCTACATTAAAAATACTACAGTTTTTAGATCACTAGAAGCAGAATATAAACAAATAAAGCATGTTTAGGCACACAGCTGTGACTGAAAGGAAAACTGGTGTTTTTCCAGGTTACTTCAACAAGGTGAATCTGGATGACATGCAGTTGGTTGGAGCTCCTGTGTACAGGTTGTCCATGATAGCTGAGGCGTATTCAACCAAAGGTATCTAATAACACCAAGAACTGCATATTTAATGTCTCTTAAAATCGTAGCAGTCTCACAAATCTCTGCAGTACCTGTTCTTTCCACTTGGTGGCAGAAGAGTGACATCAGCTGTGGTTTAACAGGAAAACAGTTTCTACTGTACTGACATTTTTAACATATTATAGATATTATTGATTATACCGTGAGGCATAAAGTAGTTTGATTTGGGAAACATTAAGTGAGGACAATAAGCCAAGTGTCTAAATGTGTTGGATGAACATCAGACATTTACATCCAACCCTTAATTAATTTTTCTCATCACACCCAGGCTTATGTCTGGAGAAGGTCCCGGCCGTCTCTCCGGCTCTGTCGAACAGGAACACAGGGTCTCCGGCGTCCAACCGGAGCACAACGGATCGGGATCAGGAAATCATCACCTGCTATGAGAAGTCTGGAGACATCGCTTTGCTCTACCTGCAGGAAGCAGAGAAGGTTTGTGTCTGAGAGTGTGAAGCTGAGGAACTTGGCTCGCCAAAGCTCATCAAATATCGTGTTAGTTACTGGAAACGTTGTGCCGTCCTGGTGGGAGTGTGATAAATATCCTGTTAATGTGATTCTGGTCACCAGAGCCAACAAATTTCTTCTTCTGTGTTTGAAGAGCAGAGACTGAGTCAAACACAAGACAAATCAAATGATTTACACTTTAAACTTTTTATATTAGACAAAAATATGTGTAGAATATATTTTTGTATTGCCTAAAATCAACAAAAATAACTAGATACTACACTCGAGGAGGAACTTAAGGCTTAAACCATTACTTGCTCATAAAGAATGCAGAWATAGAAACAAAAAATACTTGAAATATAGAAAATGTTTTTTTCTGCTGTGAGAATGCTGAATGATTCTGCTGAAGAAGCTGAATCAATAACCAAATTGTTAGCTAAAAGCCAAAAGTAGTAAAACATTAGTTAATAGCATAAAGTGACAAAAGGTTAGCAAAAAGTAGCAAATAGCTAACTAAAAAGCCATAAGTATAAAAGTAATATTTAAAAGCTAAACATACTAAAACACTACTTTGAAGCTAAAAATATGAAAAAAGTCTAATTAAACTACATTTAGCAAAAGGCTAGTTAAAAGTAACAAAAGGTTAGCTTAAAGCCAAATCTAGTAAAATACTAGTTAAAAGCTAAAAATAGCAAACGTGTAGCTAATAGCCACATTTAGCAAAAGGCTAGATAAAAGCTAAAAGTAACAAAGAGAAGCTAAAGGTTATGAGTAGCAAAATGTTAGCTAAGTAGTGAAACATTAGTTAAAAGCATAAAGTGACAAAAGGTTAGCAAAAAGTAGCAAATGGCTAACTAGAAAGCAAAAACTGTAAAAGTAATATTTAAAAGCTAAAAGTACTAAAACACTACTTTAAAGCTAAAAAAAAGGGTGGGGGGTCAAATTAAAAGCTACATTTAGCGAAAGGCTAGATAAAAGCTAAAAGTAACAAAAGATTACTTGAAAGCCAAAAGTAGCAAAAAGGTTACAAGTAGCAAAATGTTAGCTAACAGCAAAAAGTGGTAAAACGCTAGTTAAAAGCTACATTTTAACAAAAGAATTGTTAAAAGACAAAAGTAGCTAAATGCAAGCTCAATGCTATTAGTAGCAATAGGCTGGCTTGGGCTTCAAAGTAATAAAAGATCAGCTAAAAACCAAAGGTAGCCAAATGCTAGTTAACAGGTCATTTTTGTAAAAGCTTAGTTAAAAGTAACAAAAGTTTAGCTAAAATCTAAAATAAAAATATTTTGTTAATTCTGTTCCAAACTGACTGCATCAACACATCACCTGTTCTCTGCTTTATTTCTTAAGAGGATGTTTTTAATTATTTTCAGTGGCAAAGAWTTACACAGAAGTGTCTGGTTTCTGTTTAATTTTTTTTCTTCTTCTTTATCTCTGTAGGCGTTATCAGCAGGGATTCAGAACCGCAGCCCAAAACCTGGACCAACACCACAAGACATGGAGCTGGGCTACTTCCTGGAGACCGGCCTGCAGAGGGCCCACGTCATCCACTTCAAGAACGGGTAAATATTAAAAAATAAAAAAACAACAACTGGTGAATTCATGTAGATAACACACACATAATAAAACACAACGAAGGAAAGATTATACACTCTGTTCTGGTCCATCATTTTTCCCTGCAGGATCCAGACCCTGAGTGGACACRTTCCACCCACTTTGCAGTTGTGGTGTTACAAAGCCGCTTACGGGTGGATGAAGTGTGAACACAGTTAATTAATATACACATTTCAGCTCGCAGTGATTTCCCTCGCTCGTGTTGGTTTTAAGATCATTCAGATTAACTTCAGTGTTACAGCAGCTGTTAAAACCTGGATTAAATGAGCGAAATACATTAAATCTGTTTTTCTTTCCTGCCATAGCAACCTGACACAAGGCGTGGGAAGGTTTCGAGAGATTCTGCGAGCCGTTGAGACCAGAACCACCCAAAACCTTCGCATGGTGAGGAATCGATAATCAGTTTCTTGTAATAACTCAAGTAAACAGACCGCTGCCGTGTTTGTTAACCTCTTGAGCCCCATGCAAATATTTTTTTCCATTTTCTATTTCTTTTAACTTCTTTTAACTTCAAATGTGTCTGTTGAATTTGGACGTTTGGTATCAAAAGAAAGCTAAGAATCTTGGCGAAAAGCTCATGGAAACTATTTTTACATTCATCAAACACAGTTCAAATGACAAGCAGTTGAATCAGAAAGTAAACAAACTGTACAAAATGGTGTCATTGCAAATCTGTAAATACATTACAAGCAAATCTGTAAAGGAAAAATCTTTGACATTATTTTTTAAAGCAACTCAAAGTAGATACTTAAATATGCTATAAAGTGTGTTGAAAGTTTTTATTTTTTTACTTGATTTTGAGTGAATCTGATCCAACTGAAGTCAAATATAATTTATCATTATTTTATATAATACTGTATATATGGTGACAAATAAATGTTTGGATAATTTTTCAAAAGAACAAACTAACAATAACAAGTCTTTTCAGTCAGGTAAGAAAAAATAAATAACTTTTGGATGTAAAAACTTCAGATTTCTTAACATTTACAGTATTAATGTTACCATCATGGTCCATCCTGTGCAGAATGACAAAACACTTAAGTTATTTATTTACTAAAACCTCTGTAACTTTGCTCCAGTTCATTTTAGCAGCATGAATCTTTGCACAGGTGATGTCCACAAGTGGATTTATGGTTTCCAAGAGTTTTTAGCCTGATTCATTATGGTTTTAAATAGGTTATATACTGTCTAATGAAAAAATTATTCAGCTGAGAATGGAAAAAAAATGTATATATATATTCCATCCCCAATTTCTCTAAAACCACGGCAGCTGTTTTAATACTTATACTTCTCATGAAATCTCCCAAGTGTTAGCTTTAATTTGATGCCAAGATTATTTTAGTAGACTTGGCAAATGCTGAGATACACTCTGTTACATTTCAGCATGGTATTTTGAGCAAAAACTTCAAAATAAAGAGTACCGTTGTTCATTCTGTGTTTTTCCGTGTGATCAGACCATAGCGCGACAGCTAGCAGAGATCCTGCTCAGAGGGATGTGTGAACAGAGCTACTGGTCTCCTCTGGAGGACACGCCGACTGTGTCACCTCTGGATAATTCCACACAGCCGGGACGCACCTACATCAAGAGCTACACGCTGAGCCGACGCCCGCGGGTTTACTCGGGAGAAAAGTAAGCGGACCCCGTCAGTGAGTGCCGAACTGGAAACCGTACAGCAAAAAACTTTCCTGTCCCACTCATTCTTGTCCACCCGCTCTCGTCCAGTTTGTTTTGCCCYCAGGAGAACACAGAGGAAGCTTTGCTGCTGCTGCTCATCAGTGAGTCCATGGTAAGAACCGTGGCAGAGTTTGACCTCTTCAGCCCCATGCAAACCAGAATTTCCCCTTTTCTATATCTTTTAACTTCTGTTTTTTTTAAGTTGAACCTGGATATGTTTGGTATCAACAGGAAAGGTCACGGAAACTATATTTTTACATTCACCAAACACAGTTCTAATGACAGGCAGTTGAATCAGAAAGTAGACAAAATGTACCAAATGGGTTGTTGCAAATCTGTAAATACATTACAACAAATGTGTAAAGGAAACATTTTTGACATTTGTTTTTAAAGCAAGTCAAAATAGATACCAAAAGGTGTTTTTTTTAAGTTTACTTGATTTTGAGTGAATATGGTCCAACTGAAGTCAAATATAATTTCTCATAAATTATATAATATATAAGGTGACAGAATAAATATTTGGATATTTTTTAAAAGAACAAACATCCACACAAGTCTTTTCAGTCAGGTAATAAAAAATAATTAACTTTTGCAATTAAAAACTTTACATTTACTRACATTTATTAATGGTACCAACATGATCCATCCTGTGCAGAATGACAAAATGCTAAATTATTTCTTTATTAAAACCTCAGTAACTTTGCTCCAGTTCATTTTAGCAGCATGAATCTTTGCACAGGTGATGTCCACAAGTGGATTAATGGTTTCAAAGAGTTTTAGCCTGATTCATTATGGTTTTAAATTGGTTAAACACTGTCAAAAGCATTTATTTAGACGGGAGGGAAAAATACTAATTATGTTCCATCCTCAATATATCTAAAAAAAAAACAGCAGCTGTTTTAATACTTACACTCCTAATAAAATCTCCCAAATGTTCACTTTATTTTGATACCAAGATTATTTAAGTAGAGTTTGTAAATGCTGACATACCTTCAGTTACATTTCAGCGTGGTATTTCGAGCAAAAACATCGAGAAAACCTCTTTTTAAAGGCCGCGCTCGTTCAGCTATAACGTCGTCGTTCGTTTATCTTTCAGGCCAACCGTGACGCCGTCCTGAGCAGGATTCCTGAGCACAACAACGACAGGATCATCAGCCTGCAGTCTGCCTCYGTGGTGTACGACCTGCTGACCATAGCTCTGGGCAGGAGGGGGCAGTATGAGATGCTGTCTGAGGTAAAAGGTTGTTTTATTTAAAAAAAACGGCTTCCATGATTAAAAACTAAAACGTCTCCTCTTCCTCAGTGTTTGGAGAGAGCCATGAAGTTTGCCTTCGAGGAGTTCCATTTGTGGTACCAGCTCGCCTTGTCGCTAATGGCAGCGGGCAAGTCGGCCCGTGCCGTCAAAGTCCTGAAGGAGTGCATCCGCCTGAAGCCCGAAGACCCCACCATCCCTCTGCTGGCTGTGAAACTGTGCATCGGGCCTCTGCACTGGGTCAGAACCACACAGAATAACCTGAACAGAAACGAGGGCTGATAGCTCACTGAAACAGCTTCACTTTTCTCTCCTCCTCGAATTTCAGTTGGATGAAGGGGAGAACTTTGCGAAGCTGGTGATCGAAATGGGAGAGAAAGCAGCCGAGTTCAGAGCCAAAGGCTTCCTCGCCATCGGCTTGGTCTACAGCCTTAAAGCCACCGACGGTAAATCTGCAGCCACCAGAAACTTCACACAAAAACACAAACTCCGTTAAAAACTATTGTTTTATCGTGTCTGAAGTTTTCTTCTGTTTGTTGTGTTTTTAGCGTCGTTGCGGAGCATGCAGGAGGAGTACCAGAGGAAAGCTCTGGGAGCCTTCCAGAGGTCTGGACCGAGTGTTTCCTGTGTTTATTCCTGACCTGTGATCTGTAACGTTTCATCTGATGTGAGTGAAACCTGTCTTTTCCTCTGCAGAGCTCAGAGTCTGACTCCCACTGACCATCTCGCTGCTTTCTATCTGGCTCTGCAGCTTGCCGTTTCCAGACAGGTAACACAGCAACGTGAAGCTCAAAGCGTCTCGGAGTTGCGGTGTGTTTTTGTCCCGGCTTTAGTGAAAACCTGTAGCCTGTGTGCGTTTGTGTGTAGATCCCCGAGGCGTTGGGCTACGTTCGACAGGCGCTGCAGCTCCAAGGAGACGACGTCCACTCCCTCCACCTGCTGGCCCTGCTGCTCTCTGCTCAGAAGCATTACCAGGACGCGCTGAACATCATTGAGATGGCTCTGTCCGAGTATCCGGAGAACTTCAAGTGAGGCACACACACACACATACTACAGAGGTTTTTTTTTGTTTTTATTTAACCGAATCCAGTGGCAGACGATGATCTCGCTGTACGATTGTATTTGTGTAGTTTGCTGTACACCAAGGTGAAGCTGGAGACGATGTGCAGGGGACCAGAGGAAGCTCTGCTCACCTGTAAACACATGCTGCAGATCTGGAAGAGCTTCTACAACTTAACCAACCCCAGGTACGTTGGGAGACACACACACGCTCCTCAAAGGCAAATTCAAACATCGAATTTCACAAACAGCAGCTCTGAAGCTAAGGTAACCCCGACTGGTTGTTACATTAAAAGCCTTCCACCTCATGTCAACCATTTCAGTTGTTGTGACCTTGGGCGACAACCATCATGGTGGTGGTCAGATATATTTATATAAAGCTATACAGCATTAACTAATGTCACATATTTATTAGTAATATATATGGTGTTAACTTATACACACACACACACACACACACACACACACACACACACACACATG